TGCAAAAGCTGATATGGGCAACGCACGCCGTGCTCTCAAGGACTATCTTGTCAAGCAGGGTGTATCTCACGCCACCCAGCTTTGAGGGCTGGACGTGTGAGAGTACGACGGCTTATGCCAGCTATGCTTGCTTGCCTTTACTTTATTATGCTATTTCTAGCATAGGATAATTATATGCATGCATGAATTGCTTGATTTCCTAGGCTAGGTGCTTTCCTATATTTTATTATAGTTATAGCATCATGCTAGGTTGCGTGCACCGAATTCTGGCTTTTCGGTTGCCACCAAATTGTCTCCTACCGAATTTGGTAAGGATCTGTTCGGGACGCTTCGCGACCCGCGGAACCTTTGCGTAACACCTGGTTACGGGGCCTTGTGTTGAGCCTATATATAGCCTCGTGTTGTACCCAGGTGATTCATTCAATTCATATTCTCTTTTCTGAGCTCGATCCTAGATCCTCACAGTTCGGCTTCGTGACAATGATACGCCACCAATCCATGGCGGGTCATCGCAGCAGCGACACGGCGTAGCGAGTCTTTGCCGTATCCTCCGAGAAGTAGTTGGCTTCGAAAAACACGTTCATCGTGAAGAACCACGCTTGAACAGTAGGACCACCCCCTTGACTCGATCAAAACATGGTGGACGCTGCGGCTTTAGCGGCATCTGTGACGGCAGTGCCGAATCGTTGGTCGGTGCCGAAATCATGACGCGAGGCTGGTTCCTGACCGCATTCGGCGCTTCGGGGTGTGACGTGCCGTGGTCGTCGTCTCCGTCGTGGCGGAAAACGCCATCACTAGCCGCGCTTGTGGGTTGCCCCACACTTCCGTGCTGCGATGCCTGTGGTGTGGGTTGTCCCAGAGTGCCAGGTGCTTGTGACTGTGCTTGTTGTGCTCGTGCGACGTCGTTTTGCAGGGACGTGCGTTCCGGCCAGGGCCCAAAATTGGTTTTGGCCCACCCTGTCAAATCAGAGTTCCAGGGTGGGCCAACCCTGACTCCTAGGGTAAAAAATTTCGTACCCTGATGAAAACAGGGTAAAAAAAAATCGTACTCTGATTTCGTTACGGGTCTATATTTATAACGAATAAGTACACTGCAAGTTGAAGTATTTTATTCGGTCAGAGGTTAAGCTGTTAGAGGAAAGGTCGCAAGTTCAACACTCGCATTGGGAAATAGGCTGGGTGCACTATTTGCTGGCGCCATTTTGCACAACATCCACCATATCCTCGCTACGAAAGACTCGGTGTCAGTGTAACAGGATTATAACACTGATGAAAGTCAGGGGAAACAATCTATAGCTCGGATTTCATCAGGGTACAAAAAATCAAACTCTTTATGAGTTAGGGTAAGAAATCCGGGAGCCTGACTGGGTCAGGGTAACCCTAAAAAAAGCGGCCGCCAGTCAGGGCAATCAGGGTATTTTACCCTGACATTTTGGGGCCTGGTTCCGCCATCAGCCCCGCAGTTTCTTCCGTGTTCTCATGTAGTCGGCGTAGCAATTCATTCAGGCGCGCCTGCGTGAGCGTCGTGACGTCGATATATTTGGCCATTACGAAGGGTGTCGGCTCAGCTTAGTCTAGGCGCAGTCGTGGCTGCACGCGTTAACGAGAGAACGCGAGGACAGCGGCTCCTAGGTGTGAAGGGGCTTGAGCCTCTTCGAGTGAAAAAATCAAAAGTTGATTTCCTGGGGTGCGGAGATGCGCGGTCCGAAAGAAAGTGGCTCTGATAACCAAGTGTTACGGGTGCAATGGATCGAGGTAGCGAGGATTGCACTAAGGTGTCAAACGAGTACAAAATGTGAGCGAAGGCATGAGCCAACATTCATACGTGAAAACATGCAAAGGGTAACGCGGTGCGTGCGAGCTACCGGTAGCTAGTGCTAGGCTGGCATCGAGGCTCGGGCTAGTCCCGACCCGAAGCGTAGGCCGACACGGCCGGGCCAGCGGTGCATGGTTGGTGAAACAGTGCGCGCGAAGTTGGCTAAGCCCCGTTAGCACGGGCGAACAACGGCTGCTGCTTTACGCGATGTTGCAGATCGCCGTAAGGAATGTCGAGAAAAATCCTTACAATTATATAACTCTGCATGTGGACTGGCCTTGTGGCCATTTGCTTGTGGATTTCAGAGTGTGTGGTGACTTTGTGATCCACCCTGAGCTTGCTTTGCTTTCTCTTGAGCTTTCACTTCAACCCAAGGGCTTGTACCGTTTGGCCCCGGATATAAGCGCATATGCGCTTATAATAAGTAATGATTTTTTAGGGGTGGCGCTTGTAATTGAGGAACGGCCATAAGCGCCGGGGCTTAAAAATTGTCAAATTCCAATTTTGGTTTTCGAAGTATTAAAGTGAAGCCCACAATAAGGCGAACACAACTGTGAACGTTGCGCATGGGATCGTGCATGAAATTCCGGCGAAAACTGCCGCGACTCGATTTCCCACCGCACAGAACCTGTCCTGGAGCAACGCACCTGCTAGCGATGACGTGCATCCTGACGTGCGGCCCAATAGGGTTTACATGCGCTGCCAGGGTGCCACATTTCACCCGAACTTTCGAGAAGGGGGTGGCATATCCCTGCCAGCGCAGCAGATACGTGCCGCGATTCCCTCCTCTGCGGGTTTAGGCAGGGGGGGATCTGACTATGCCTGAAGAGGAACTCGAGCCGCACACCAGAAGGGGTCCCCTCCAAACCCTCATTTCTTCGCCTTCTCTTTCACTTTTTTCATTCAGATTCTTGGTCTCGCCCGCCAAGCTGCGGAAGCCATGGCGGAATTCGCTGGCACTCATTTCTTGTTCATAAAGAAGCCCGCGCGTAGGCCCGCCTTCGTAGTCGACGCCGACGGATGGTACTCCCGTGTCCCACCTGAACCACCAGAGCCACCACAGCCTCCATCGCCTCCTGCGCCGCCTGCTCCTCCTGCTCCTCCTTTGCCGCCTGCGCCTCCTGCTCCTCCTGTTCCTCCGTCTCCTCCGATTCTGGGATGTCGTCACAACACAGGGGATCCGCCCGTGCTCACGCTCCTGCTCCCGACTGCGTTCGACGAGTGGCTGGAGGAACCGGAAAGCAACAAGGCCCAAGATGTTGAGGTACCCGGCGCACCTTACCCTGGACCACGTTGGGGCCGGCCCGATGATTGCACCACGTGGGACGAATCTGCACTCGGAGCTGACGACGACGTGGCTGAGGACGAGGAAGCGAGCCGTGCTGACGGCGACGAGGAAGCGAGCCGTGCTCGGGAGTGTGGGATTCACCGGAAGTGTCTCGCCAATTGGAAGGTGGCAGCCACGAGAACGGGTGGATGAATGCAGAAGGCGTCATCCGCTGGCTTGAGGAGTGTGTCAAGCCCTTCTTGAAGCCCCGATTTGGCAGGCGTGCGAAGAGCTCTATGCTCGTGCTGGATTCCTACCGCGGGCACCTTACCGAGGGAGTGAAGGAGAAGCTCCGCGAGATCAACTGCGTGCCTGCTGTCATCCCATCGGGTTGTACGGGTGAGGTTCAGCCACTCGACGTCTCCATCAACAAGAGCTTCAAAGCATCTGTTCGTTAGCAGTACCAGAAGTGGTTTCAGGAGGAGAGCCAAAAGCAACTGACAGCTGCAGGTACGTTGTTTGATAAACACGCATGTTTATCCCCCTTTCACCCTTGGTCACTGACATGGCTTTCCCGGGTGTCTCTGTTGCGGTGCAGGGAATCTGAAGAAGCCCCCCCCAGAAGTGGTCCTTCGATGGATTTCACAAGCCTGGAAAGCAGTACCCTCCGACCTCGTCAAGCGCGCCTTCCTCACCTGCGGCATTAGCAACGCGCTTGACGGCAGTGAGGACCACCTCGCCATGGCGCACAGGCGGAGCCAACTGACGGCGGAAGTGGATGTAGACGACGGCATCATCGCCGACGGATTCTTTGGCAACAACTGCCAGGAGCCCGAGTCTGACGAGAAGTAGTTCCGGTACTAGCACCTAGGTAGAATAGCAGATTAAGTCTAAAATTGTGTAAAACTTGTACCCGTATTCTCCCGGACATAACACCCTAGGGTATAGCTAAAAATACAGGGAAAAAATGGGGGGTGTCTCCTCATAGGAAAAAAATACATAATACCCGGGTCTTTACATATGGCATATTTTAGTGTTAGTGTTTTTTTAATTAGTCAATGTGGGTGTTTTGCTGGTCGTTTTAGCATCACTGCCTGAGGCGCAAATGTCAGTTTCGGCCTCGAACTTCATCGCCCTCACGAAAATGCCATGTGACACCTCTCTTGCCACTTGCAACGGAAGATTCACCTGCATGTGGCAACAGAGAAATAGTGGGAGGGGGCAAATCTCGGCAGATTGCCTATGAATGTACCGCGAAATTTCATTGAGGGAGAAATTCACACGATATTCTTCCGTATTGCAGCTACTCGTTAACGACTAGAATAATGAATCCGTAAGAAAAGGGGGGTGTTATAGAAAATCAGCCAAAAAGGGGGGTATAGTAGAAACGAGGTCTATCATAACACCCACCCCGCACAAGCTACCCGGGGGTGTACAATTATGGGGGGGTGTTTTGTCCGGGAGTATACGGTAGTATTCGTTGAAGCGAACGATGTTATAGTTGTTGTTTGCTTTTGTTGTGGTGGTAGAAAAAGTGTTAATATTGAGGGTGGCGCTTATAATAAGGAAAAGTACAAAAGGGGTGGCGCTTATAATCGAGGATCGGCCATAAGCGCCATGCTCCAGATAGAAGCGCCGGCGCCTGTAATAGGCCGGCGCCTATATCCGGGGCCATACGGTAGGTACTTCTGTTGCACCAAGGACGAAGATGCTAGCAACGCAATCAATGCCATGTTTGAGTTGTACGGTAACATATAAACATAGGCAATGCAGACTTCCCACGCTTTTCAAACTTCATTGCTGCAGCAATGGAGAACCCTAATCCCCATGAAAGCGGCTATCGGGTTAGACCTACAGAGAAGCACTAAAATTATGATCTGGAAGCTGCGCACTTTCCCCCACCGCATCAAAGCACCTTCACAAGCCTGGGCTGGCCCCATTGGTCGCTGCCCTACCTCTGCTGTCCACATCCATGCCCCCTTGCTCCTCGCCCTCTTGCCCCTCGCTCCATTGCCCCTCGTTCCCTGCCCCACCGCTCCTCGCCGCCGCAGCCTCCTCTAGCCGTTGCCACGTGGCGGCACGCAGCTCCTCCACGTCAGCAGCGCGTGCCTCGTCCTCGAGGAAGTGGCGCTGGCAGTCGTCGTAGAGCTGCTGGTCCATCTCCAGAAACATCTTTCGCACGTTGATCGTCAGCCCGTTCACCGCCTGCCACATGCCACCGTGAGGTCAAGGGGCGGGCAGGTGCAGAGGGAGGGAGATGGGGAGTGGGCAGGTGAGTGGATAAGAGTGTGCACACAAGGGATGGAGTGGTGGGCGTGTTAAGGTGGCACGCGAGATGCTCCTCCCGTGGGTGCTTGCTTCAGCTGCCACATGCCGCTGTGCTCTTGCTGCTTCCACTCCTCACACGCTGCATGCGTCCGCTGCACGGGAAGTTTTGCATGAACAACAGGCAATGGGCAGGCGATGGGCAGGACGATGAACGTAACCCCTCTTGTATCAGCCACTTGATCAACCTCTTGCTCCCCACTAATTTCTGTCTCCCTCTCCTTTTCAGCCTTCTTCCTGCATCCGCCCTGCCATTCTTTCCTTAAATCATTGCAACTTAACACATCTGTCCTTGTCCCTCCCTCTGTTCAACCCTCTCACTGCTACTCCCAATTCTTCCTCCCTCCTCCCAACTCCCTCTACCACTTCCCAACTTCCTCCCTCTCCATTCCCCTTTTTCCAGCATCTCAGTTCACCTATAAAGCTTTTTCTTTCTCCACCTCCGTCACTTCCCTAACCTCCTTTTGCTCCATTCACTTCCTCTCGCCGCTTCCACTACTCCCTTCACCGCCCCTCCATTGCTCTTCCTACTTACCTCTATATCTTCCCCCCACAAACCGCCCTTCCTAGTCCATTTGTTTCCCGGCCATACGTCCCTCCCACTCTACCTTTCACACTAATTTTCTCCTCTTTCTCACTCGCCCTGCTCCTGCTGTCTTGCTTAAGCCCCTTCACTCATGTCCCTCTCCCCCTCTCTACTTTAACTTCTCATCTCTATCTCTCCTCGTGGTCCCCTCCTCTCTCCTTTCCAGCCTCTCTATCTGCCCCCTCCTCTCTGTCTCTTCTCTTTCCCTCACTCCTTTCCTTCCTCCTTCCCCTCTCTTCTCTCTTCTCTCCCCTCTCCTCTCCTCTCTTTTGTCCCTTCCTCCTCTCTCCTCTCTCCCCTCTCTCCCATCGCTCCTTTCCTTCCTACCTCGCCTTTCTCCTTTCTCACCTGACATCTTTCTCCTTTCCCTCTTCTCACCCCCCTCTATTCTGTCTCGCTTCTCCTCCAACTGTCTGCTCATGAACGTTCAAACTCTCCAGCGTTTCTCAACTCAGCCCACCTCCTCATTTCTGATATCTCCTCCCTTTCTCGCTCCCTTTCTCGTTCCTTCCTTCATCTGCCCCTCCCTTCCCCTCTCACTCCTTTCACTTCTCTCCTTCTTTCCTACTCTCCCCCTCTTCCTCCTTTCCCCCTTTCCTCTTCCCCCCCTCTCCCTCTCTATCCACGTGCTCTAATGCATCGTCCTTCCTGCCTGCAGCGCGCGCCCTGTCCGACCCCTGCACGTCCCCACGGCCCTCCACCGTGTCCGCCCTCTTCCTCCATCCCCCCTTACTCGCCACTCCTCCACCTCCCCTTGTGCCGTTCATAGCATCAGCCCAGGTCGAAAGGACGAACTCAGCCGCTGACCTTGAGCTGTGTTTCATTGGATCAGCTGCACCGCACAGAACCGCACCACAAGGCCCTCCGCATGCCCACACGGCAACACTACTGCTGCTTCCTCCTGCCCGCCCCCTCCATACCTGTGTGCGTGCACCGCTGCCCACAGCGTACCTGGTTCTAGTCCAGTGGCTATAGTCCTTGCTATGCGTGCCTGCCATGCCATGCCACGGGCACGTGCCACCAACCTGGTTCCAGTGCCGCCCTACCTCGTTCCAGTGCCGCCCTACCTCGTTCCAGTGCCGCCCTACCTCGTTCCAGTGCCGCCCTACCTGGTTCCCGTGCCGCCCTACCTCGTTCCAGTGCCGCCCCACATCGTTCCAGTGCCGCCCCACCTCGTTCCAGTGCCGCCCTACCTCGTTCCAGTGCCGCCCTACCTCGTTCCAGTGCCGCCCTACCTCGTTCCAGTGCCGCCCCACCTGGTTCCAGTGCCGCCCTACCTGGTCCAGTGTCGTCTGTGCTACAGCCACAGCCTGCCATGCCCATGCACGTGGCACGTACCTGGTTCCAGTGGCTTCTGGCGTTGCGTTCGAGGGCGGGGAAGATGAGTGGCAGGATGGCGGCGCGGTTCTGCGCGACGAGGGTGACGATGTAGTCGTTGTTCCACAGGAACAGCGTGCGCTCCGCCACCTGTGCAAGTACAGGGACGTGTGGGGGGTATGTGGTGTGGGGCATCGGGCACAGCAGAGTATACGGGGTACACACAATTGTGTATGAGTTCGCTGGCGAACAACAATGGGGAAGGTGGGGGCGAGGAAGCTGGTGAGGGCACAGCAGCACTGCGTGTGCCACGTTGCACGGAACCATCCCACCGCCACCACTACCCCACCATTCATCACCCCACCCCACTGCAGAGCACAGCACCTGGAAGTGCGAGGAGCTGAGGCAGCGCGCGAGCTGGAGGAAGAGCGGGTGGACGAGGGCGTGGAACTCGGGCGGCTGGGTGAGCTCCAGCACCTCCTCCAACTCGCCCAGGAACAGCACCTCCTTCTGACTGTTCGTCACCGGCCAGAACCGCAGCAGACCGCGCACCACCACGTCGGCGAGGCGCGGGTCCTTTTCGACGAACTGGGTGACGCAGTAGGCGAGCTGCTGCTGGTACATGGAGACGCACTTGGGCTTGTGCAGCGGGATGAGCGCGCGCACGAGGAACAGCTTGTGCTCGTCCTTGAGCGGCAGCGCGAAGCCGTTGATGATGGACCCCAGGATCTCCAGCAGCTCCGCCACGCCGTTGTGGCGCTGCGTGTCGTAGATGAAGCGGAAGAAGATGTGGTTGATGGCGCGGCGGATGAAGGGGCGGTGCACCATGAACTTGCCGTAGATGCGGTGCACGATGGTCTTCAGGTAGTCGCGCTCGCGCGGGTCCTCCGAGTCGAACAGGTTGAGCAGCCGCAGGATGAAGCGCTGGTCGATGTACCGCTTCGCCACCTTGGCGTCCGTCTCGTTGGAGACCACGTACCGCAGCAGCAGCTCGTACACGATCTGCAGGTGCGGCCACGCCGCCTCCATCGTCGCCTCCTCCTCCTCCGGCTCGAACGACTCCGCGCCCGCCATCTCGTGCGCGGACGGCGGCAGCGGGCGGAAGAGGTTCACCTCGAGCATGCGCGTGACGGCCAGCAGTGCGGGCTCGCCGAGCTTGCCGGTGCCGGCGTTGACGAAGTCGACCAGCTCCAGCAGCGTCTGCCGCTTCACCTCCTTCTCCTTCACGTGCGCCATGGGGTCGCTGAAGTCCAGCACGTGCGCGCACAGCTGCACCTTGCGCACGAACAGCGCCGCCTTCTCCGCCGCCGCCACGTCGCGCAACGACGGCAGCGGCTCCGCGAACGGCGACACGTCCGTCGGAGTGATCACGTCGCCCGGGTCGCGCAGGTCGGGAGCGCCGGCAGCCGCGCCGGCGGGTGCGGGATGGGCTCCAGCTGACGGGTGCGCGGGGGCAGCCTTGCCGGCATTCGGCGCGGCAGCGGCTTTACCCGACCCTGCTCGTGCCGCGCCCGCTGGGGCTGCCGCCGCCGCTGCATTGCCCGCGTCGTGCGACGCATCTGTCTTCCCCTGCTTTTTTCGTCCCCCTACCAAAGTCTTTTTTACTGATTGAAGCATGCTCGCCCCCGGCTTTAACGCGAAACCCTAAGCTACAACTACGGGCTCCGCGCTAAAGGAGAATAATATCCTATCGACGTTACTTCATGACTACCGAACAACCGTCTATCGACATTTCGGAAGAAAAATATTAACGCGTTATCATTGGCATAGTAACTCCAAAAATCAACTACGCCTAATAGGGACGAAATTGCTATATTCTACGAGTCATGAGAGGGCACGAGCAGTTAGCAGCGGAAGCGTCGGGACTGGGAGCATTGGACGGATGGAGGGTGTATGGGATGGCGAGGGCATGCAGTGAGTGATAGTGAAAGACCGATGTTGGATTGCGAGCAAGTTACGGTAGGCGATAAGGGCTGTACAGCTCGAGGTGGGTGAAATGGTCTTATGGCTCTACATACACCTCAATAATTATTACAGAGATGCATTTCTATACAACTTTGTCTGGCTACCGTAACTGGAAGGTGGTTAGCACGCAGGCATTCAAACCATGTGCCTCAGTCACCCGCCCACCAACAAGCCTCCCCTGAATCTATTGCGTTTGAAATCCTTTCGAAAACTGTAAAACTGACATGTTTGCGTAGCCAACAAGTATCTACGGCAGTTCAATAGACATCAGACTTGTCTGGCAAGACACAAACTCATTTACTAGGACAGTAAGCTTAAAGGTGAAGGCATCTGAGTAGCTTGAAGAAACCACTTCGATTTTCAGAGAATCAGATACCACTACTCTGACAAAACAGGCTATAGACCCCTTATTCTTGAAATGCTTTGCATACAGACAATATGGAGATGGGGGTGGGGGTGGGTGTGTGTGTATGCAGCAGGAAAACGGGGATACACACGAGGTGGGAGGAGGGCAGGAGTGAGGGGGGGAAGGGGGAAGTGGAGAAAAGGGTGGTGGGCAGGAGAGAAAGAGGTGTGGGAGGCATGGAAGTGGAGTCAGAGGAAGAAATGGTTGGAGTGGTCGCGTTCAGGAAGGTAAGGTAAAAGAAAGGAGGACGTGGGAGGAGGAAGTAGCAGAGAGGAGTGAGAGGAATGCAGGAAGATGGAGAAGCTGGATATGAAGATGAAATGGAATGTGTGTGTGCGCGGGGGGAGTGAGACAAAGATGGAGGAGCGGAGAAATGAAGAGATGGTGCGAGAAAACGGACGGAGGAGTCACAGCGACTGTACCCGGTGTTTGACTGAACTGAATTGACGGAGCAGGCAGCGAAAGTCGGAGGCGGAACCATAAAACGACTCATAGTAGAAAAAGGAGTGGCACACCATGTACAAGACTGGTCTCTTTTACACTTTCAGCGCAAACGGTGAAGGATGCAAAATGCTCGGGTAAACTGCCGAGACTAACGACGCTGCTCTCTCGCAATAATGTCTCGCGACCCCCACCATGCACATTTCGCTACTCTACAACAGAATTCCCATCGCAAAGATTCGCCCTACCCCTGCTGGATCTACTGCTCCTCCTCCTCCTGCATTCTCCGCTTCGCCTCCTCCCGCGCCCACCCGTGCAGGCTCGTGTCGGGCTTCGCCGTGAGGCCCACCGTGAGGATCACAGCGGCTGCCCCCATCGTCAGATAGTACGGCGCCTCCCAGTCCTCCCACGCGCGCGCCTGCCCCGCGGGCGGCGGAAGCTCCCCGAAGAGGTGGCCTCCCGCGTCCTTGTGCCCCGGCCCCCACCAGCTGCCGCCGCCGCCGCCGCCGCGCGGACGGAGAGCGCGGCGCACGGCGGAAACTGCGGCGGATCGCGCCGTGATGAGGGACATGGTTGGTTGAGAGAAGGGAGGAGTCGCGTAATCGATGGTGGGGAACAATCGACGGGTGGTGTGTGTGAGGAGATCACGGCGTGGGAGAGGGTAAGGCGGGAGTGGGGATGGTGAGGTGTGTGGGTGAAGCGCAGTGTGGTTTAGGTTCGAGTGTCTAGGCGAGATGCAAGTCAGGGTGTCAACCGTTTGTGTGGCCAAATGATGAGTATCAGCGTGTTACGGGTGCAACGAATCGAGGTAACGAGGATTGCACTATGTTATGAGTTGTACGAAAGAAGAGTGCGCAGTATTCAATAACGCGGAAGTGATTACAACTACTGAGCAAACAACGAGGCCTAGGCATAATATAGCAAAGCTAGCTAGGCCGGGGTCGCGGAGTCGCGCGAATGTTGGGTGCAGGTTTGGGGTTGGGAAACCCGAAGGCGACGCGGAGGACGTTCGGAAGGCGAGGTCGTCGGACCGAGCCTGAACTCCGAAAGTTGGAATTGTACGCGTAAGGAGTGCCTCAAGTAGGAATTAGCAAAATTCCTTACACTACCCCCCCTCCCTTAAGAAAGGTGGTCAATATCAGGCACGCGTCGGCGGGAAAGATAATCCCGAAGCACCGAGTGGCCTTGTAGTGAGTCAGCCGGGACCCACGTGTCATCTTCACTTGTGCGATCCACCCAGCGTAGCAGTAAGTCGACGTGGCGTCCAGCGGGGGTCGCACGAATGCGATGATTCAAAATCTTCCAGGGTTGAAGTGTCAGATCTGCCACGGGCCTGACACTTGGCGCGATGTTAGGTCGAGCGACGTCGGATGGCTGCGGAGCCACGTAGTGGCGAAGCAGATTGACGTGGAAAGCATCGTGGATTCTCCAGTCGTCCGGTAGGAGAAATTTCGTCGTGACCGGGGTCAGCATCCGAATGATGCGGAAAGGTCCCATGCAGCGGGGACGCAATTTTGCAGGCTGGGGCAGTCGGAGATTCTTCGTGTCCAGGAGAACCATCTGCCCGTCACGGAATGGTAAGTTCCGTCGATGTCGGTCGGCGTAGCGGCTGGCGGCCGTATTAGCTTTTCGTATGAATTTCGCTGCCTTGTCACGTGCCGCTTGAAGTTCCGAAACAAACTGCTGTGACCGTGGTACCGGATTTTCAGGAGTCGTTGAAGAGGGTACCACCGGATCTATCCCGTAATTGAGGTAAAACGGCGATTGATTGGTCGTTGCAAACGGGGCGTTGTTGTACGGAAATTCGAGCATGGGAAGCGAATCTTCCCATTTGGAGATGTCGGGGCAGTTCGTGCGAATCAACTGCTCCATCGTCTGATTTGTCCGTTCGGTCTGCCCGTCGGTTTGCGGGTGGTATGACGACGAAAACTGCAAGCGGGTGCCGTACTGTGCCCACGTCTCCTGCCAGAACTTCGACGTAAATTTCGGATCCCGATCGCTGATGATCGCCGAAGGTAACCCGTGTAGTCACACGACGGTCGAGATGAAGAGCTTCGCTGTTTCTTCGGCCGTGATCGTCGTTCGGCATGGTGCGAAATGCGCCATTTTCGTTAAGCGGTCGACGACGACCAGCACCGAATCGTTGCCACTTGCGCCAACTGGTAGCCCGGTGACAAAGTCCATTGTCACATGTTGCCACGGTCGTTCAGGTGGCTCGAGGGGTTGCAACAATCCACCTGGGCGTTGACGTGATGATTTCATTGCTTGGCAGGTCGGGCAGGCGGACACGTAGTGCTGCACGTCCGACGCCATGTCGGGCCAGTAGTAATTCCGCTGCAGCAGCTTCAAAGTTTTGTCGACGCCGAAATGCCCGGAGAGATTGGAGTCGTGTACCTCCTGCGTCAGCAATTCTTGTAAGGGTCGGTAGGAAGGTACCCAAACTCGGTTGGTACCGACTTTTAGGTAATAGCTCCCATGTGCCGTGGTGACCTATTGGTGTTGGTTGGTCCTGAAAAACCTGTCAGTCCTGTAGCCATGCTTGAAGAGTCATGCCAATAAAGGGTTAGAATGGGCGATTAGTACTGCTGCGGTCTGCATTGATGGACGGGTCAGGGCGTCGGCGATGTTGTTGGCGCCCTTTTTTTACGTGATGGTGTAGCTGCTATTTGACTCGAGGTAGTGGAGCCACCGGATTTTGTCAGATTATTATAGCTGATGCATGTTTGTAGGCTATAGTGGGGTAGCACATATGGGGTACAGTTTGCTAGGGTTGTATTTGTACCCAACTCTGACTTAGTCAATTCATTCCTGTTCATCCCTTTCACATGGTATAGAGCGGGTTCCCTGTGGGAACTTCGCCTAGGGCCCACCGAAGCGCGCCCCGAGGCGCGCGATCCTTTTTTTTAGCGACCCCCCCGAGTCGCCCTTCCCCTGCGGCCCCGCCGCCCTTCGTTCGCGGCCCCGCCGTCCAGTCGCGGCCCCGCCCTTACGTCGCGGCCCCGCCCTTCCGTCGCGGCCCCGCCACTAAGTTGCGGCCCCGCCACTAAGACGCGGCCCCGCCACCCAGTCGCGGCCCCGCCGCCTACTTAGACGCGGCCCCGCCGCCTGCTAAGACGCGGCCCCGCCGCCTGCTCAGCCGCGGCCCCGCCGCCCTCTACGACGCGGCCTCCGCCGCCTGCAGACGCCGCGGCCTCCGCCGCCTGCTCAGCCGCGACCTCGCCGCCCGCTACGACGCGGCCTCCGCCGCCTGCTCAGCCGCGGCCCCGCCGCCCTCTACGACGCGGCCTCTGCCGCCTGCTCAGCCGCGGCCCTGCCGCCTCCTACGACGCGGCCCCGCAGCCTGCTCAGCCGCGGGTGCTTCCAGCGGCCCTCCGCTGCATCCTGACGGCCCGCCGCTGCACCCTGCGGCCCCGCCGCTGCGCCTGTCCCGGCTCCGCCACTGCACCCTGACGGCCCCCCCGTCCCCTGTCTCGGCCCCACCGCTGCACCCTGACGGCCCCGCTGTCCCTTGTCCCGGCCCCGCCACTACACTGCAGCCGAGCCGCCCAGCAGCAGCCGAGCCGCCCAACAGCAGCCGAGCCGCCCAGCAGCAGCCGAGCCGCCCAGCAGCAGCCGAGCCGCCCAGCAGCAGCCGAGCCGCCCAGCAGCAGCCGAACCGCCCAGCAGCAGCCGAGCCGCCCAGCAGCAGCCGAGCCGCCCGGTACCTGAGCCGCCCGAGCCGCCCGAGCCGCCCGAGCCGCCCGAGTCGCCCGAGCCGCCCGAGCCGCCCGAGCCGCCCGAGTAGCCCGAGCCGCCTGCTGCTGAC